GTATGTACAGTGCTGTATGTATAGTAAGTGTTTGGAAAAGAATTGTATTTTTTAAAAAGTGTATTCCATGGTATGGGTAATGTTTATCTCCAATTCACTGTTAGAAAAAAAAATATTGCAGAGGCTCCAGAAAGTTCACTGTACGCTCCCTGCTTTTGTCTAAATTCATTCGTGAGAAGCTTTACTCACGAGTTAGCTGCCGGTGACTCATAGTTAAATCTTTCCACTCATCCTTTTTCCTTTTTTGTTTTTTAGTACAGTTGCAAATCACATGACATTCTGCTTTGTTCTTTTCTTTTTCCCCAAGTGAAGCAACTCGAACAGCCCTGTTACCTTAATGAATTACAGCCGTTCAGTGAATACAGTTGGTATCCACTTCATCAGATCTAGTTTATGATAATTTCTTGGAAAGCTGTAGACTAATTCATGGGGGTTCTGAAGCCCTATGAAAATTCCTATCACCTGGTAACCCAGGTGGGTTGAAGGTCGGTGTCTAGTGACTGCTAAGAAGATAAAAGGAATGTTGCAGAAATATAAATAGGCCAGCACTGAAATTTAATTAGGCACCGCATATGTTAATAATAAATTCAATTAATTTAGCCTTCTACCTATGCTAGAGGGAAAAAAAAAAACAAAACACCCAGGCAAAATGATAATTCATTTTAAATGCCTCAATTGGTACCCTTCTTTCCTGGAGAGTGATTTAGGCAGGAATTTACTGGCTGTGTCTTCATAACCAGCCCTTTTGAAATAATAATAATTTCTGAATGTGTGTTGTGAGAGATATAACAAATGACTTCTTATTAATTTTCATTTAATGAGTTGCCTATTCACATGGTAATTTTTTTAAAAAGAATTCTCTTCTTAAGATAAACGGGTTATAAATACTGAGGATAACACTTCATTTTGCAAAAATCATGCCGGGAAAATCTGTCTCATATTCTCCACATGATTTGAAGGCCCGTCAGTTATACATTTTCTATATTAAATCGGCACCTTTTTCTTTCCCAATTGGGACAGCAGATCATTTAAAATTTCTATCGCCAAGTGATTTCCAAATTGGTTAAAAACGAACAAACTCACAGTATTTCTCAGCAGCAAAGGGAGCCCTAGCAGGGATAATAGGGAGGTAGTCAGGAACTAAAGTGAAAAAGCAGGCTAGGATTCTTTAAGGAGCCCCACAACAGTGATCCTATTTTAAACAAACAAACAAAAAAAACACACAAGACTACGAAGACTATCACAGACAGCTTTCTTATTTCCCCAAGTTGCCTACTTTTTTAATAACAACAAAAAACCCAAACCCGTTGCTGTCCAGTCAGTTCCGACTCATAGTGACCCTACAGGACAGAGTAGAACTGCCCCATAGGGTTTCCAAGCAACAGCTGGTGGATTCAAACTGCCAACCTTTTGGTTAACAGCCTGAGCTCCTAACCACTGTGCCACCAGGGCTCCCTACTGTTTTAATGCAACCCCAGATTTTCTTACATGCATATTAATATTTAAGCACTATTTTAATTGCTAATATTTTCAAAAAGTTCAGTTACATAATGGTGAGTTAGTATGTTCACGTAATTCAAAATAGCAAGGATGAAATAACTAATAAATAAAACAATAAAAGCCAGAAAGAAAAACATTGCTCAGGAGAGTTCTATTTATTTTGAACGTTTCACACTCGTTTGAAAAGTCCCGCAATAGACAGGGCAAGCCTCTTACAAACAATTCCTTGGAACACTTGAAAGCGTGTGCCCAAAGTATTAAATAATTCAAATGCAATTGTAACTTACATGAGAACCGGAAAGGCCTGGCTCCTAAGCCGCACTGCCTCACACCCTCTCCGTGGAAAAGCCCGTACTGCATCTCGCCCATGAACTTGTCCAGCTCCTGGCCCGAGGCGTTGACCAGCAGAGCCCCCGTTTTGCAAAGGAAGGTGGCTTTGATCCACAGCGGTGTCCCTAAGGCTGTCACAACTCCGAGGGCACACGTGAAGCTTAACACCCCGGCCATGCAAAAAATGACCTTCTTCTGTTGGTTTGGCATGATGGGACGCGGCGTTGGTGAGGTTCAAAAACAAGACCTTTGTGAGCGACGAGGAGGGACTGCCCCTCTGACTGCATTTATTATAGAGGCTGAAGGGACAGGCCCCCGCTGAAAAGGCCACTTCACTGTCCACGGTGGTTCCCTTCCGATTAAATATCAGTAGAATGCCAGGACGCAGGTTTCTTCCTCACACGTACTTTTCCTTCTTCTCTGTGTCCACTAATTTGAAATCTTTGGATGAAGAGTCTGTAAAATAAAACTCTTTCAAACTGCCTTGGAGTATCTTCTCCTGTGTCACTTGGTAACAAAGGTTTAAGATAACAGATGGAGTTCTCCGTGTAACTTGATCAATGCCTCCTCTTTCCTCAGCCCTTTGTCTGATTAGATGAGCTGAAACTTTCAGAAGCAGGCTGGGCTCCTGTGGCAAATTTTCAGCCACTTAAGAAGTTCATTTGTGGATGTATTTTTATTTTTTACTTTTTTTGGGTTGTAGGGATGGAGAGGAGGTTTGGTGAAGGAAGAACATATGTATATCTACTGGTAATTTATTTTGAAAGTGTTAAGGGTAACAGGATAAAATATTTAATTGAATTGGGTTCTGCACGAGTATAAAATACCCTACCCCAATCACAAGTGGTTGTCCTCCTAACTCCATTTCTCCCAGATCTGTGGTTTAGAACCAATATATCAAAAGAGAATTGATTCAGATTCTTTCTGGCACACAAGAATGTGGAGACACAGGTGCAAATATCTAGATTTCTAAATGTTTCTCTTTAAAGCGTTTGGCTACTTCACAATAATGGCAAGGGGATATGGTTCTGGGTTAAAGGAGTATCAAAATCTGTGCAGAACACAAGGGCACTGTCATGGAAAGATCAATTGTGTTCAGAATTGATCACAGAAAAGCAATAGTCCCAGCAGAGGTACTTTGTTAGGGAGACAAGCAACAAGGCCATGAGCAAGATTAAGAAGCAAGGTGGATTTGGTTAAATGGCCAAGGCCTGAAAACTAAAGTTCGGAATTCAATGACAGATTTTTAAAGTGGTTATTGATTTTTTTTGTTGTTGTCGTTGTGAGCCGTAGAGTCAATTTCAGCTCATAGTGACCCTATAGGACAGAGCAGAACTGTTCCATAAGGTTTCCTAGGCTGTAATCTTTATGGGAGCAGATCACCAGTTCTTTTCTCCCACAGAGCGGCTGGTGGGTTCAAACCGATTACCTTTCAGTTAGCAGCCAAGCCCTTAACCACTGCAACACCAGGTCTCCTTGGTTATTGATATATAGGTACTCCTCGACTTACGATGGGGTTCCATTCCAGTGACTCAGTTGTAAGTCAGTTCTCACATGAGTCAAATACCTCATTTTTATTTTTTTAAGTTTTCATTATTATTGCCTTTTATTATCAGTATCTTTATAAATCTGATATTCATTTGTTTTTAGGGGTTGGAAACATCACATATAAACTTAAAGATATATTTTAATACATGTGTACATTTAAAAAATAGACAAATTGTAAAAATCTACTCTGACAATGAAGAAGAGGTGGACAACGTTGCCATTTTGTCAGCTGCATTAATAACTCCGCTTGCAGAAGGTTCTGGATCATCTGGATTATCCATGGGAATGAGGATGGCATTTCTAGCCAGAAAATTAGTGAGAGATGTCTGTATGGTTCTTTTCTTTCTTTTTTCTTCATATATTTCACGGTAACATCTCACCACTTCCCAAAGCTGCCTGTTGACTTTAGCAAAGTGATCAGCATTTGGGTCCATGTCTTCAAGGAACTGAAGCCCTCGATTTAGTTTAGAAAAAACTCCAGCTAATCCTTTCTTTGTAAAATTTTTTGACTTCTCTCCTTCCTCTTCCTCATTATTTCTTTCTTCTTCAGCATTTATCTCCTCTTCAAAATCAATTCCCCTTCTCTGTGATCTATGAGCTGTTCCACGTCAGTGATATCAAGTTCTAAATCCAGCGCTCTTGCCATATGGATGATTTTTCTACTGATCTCTTCACCATATTATCCTAATCAAATGCTTGGAGCATGTTCACATAACTCAGCGATTTTTTCTATATCCTTTGCATGCATTTTCCCGGAACTTCCTCCCAGGAAGACGTAATGTTCCAGCTATGCTGATAAGTGCGGTTCATCATAACTCGAATATGTGTAAGTCGAGGACTACCTGTAGTTGGATTAATATGTACCATATTTGTAACTGATTTTAGCGACAGCTTTTTAATGCTGCATTTCTAATGAGAATCCTCCTGTAAACAGATATGGGACTGATTTCTTTAGGGGTTTTTTGTTTTGTTTTTGTGTTTACTGAATATACTCTGCCACGTTACTGGGCTCGGCTCTGACCTACAAAGTTAACTTTTAGTAAGACTTAGTATGTCTGTCACCTCGGTAAGTCTTTTGCCTAAATTATATTATTTAATTCTCACAATTATCATCTAAAGTGATGATGACGATATCCCCATTTTACAGATAAGGAAACTGAGGCTCAGATCAAGCAACTTACTCAAGAGAGTAGCAAAGCTGGGATTCAAATCTAAGTCTTCCGACACTGAAGCTTATGTGTTATTCTAAGTAAAGTTTTTGACCTTGATGAGACGGCAAGTACTTCAGTCTGGGTTGGGTTGGGGTGGGAGTAGCAAGGGCAGAGTAGCCCATTTTCAGTTCTATATCTTGGGTACTTGAAGAACACAGACATTTGCAAACAGAACTTTCCCAGTTGGTCAAAAGCACATTTTTATGCTAGCTTATGTTCTCTTAACCATGGCATCACTATCAGCATAAACAAGTCTCTAGGTTACGTACACTTTGAGGGGAACTTAAGGATACAGTCTTGGAGTATCGGTGAACTCCTCAACACAGCTACTCTTAGTAGTTGAGAGCCTGTCTTATTAGGATAGATAACTAAGTATAGAACTGATTCAAGAATGCCAGTGTCCCTTTAGGGGAGGAGATAGATACCTGCCACTGAGTTGACTTTGACTCATGGTGATCTGTGTACAACGGAACAAAACATTGCCCGGTCCTGCATCATCCTCATGATTAATGGCATGTTCTAGTCCATCACTGTGGCTATGGTGCCAATCCATCTCACTGCAGGTCTCCCATGCCCTTGCTGGCCCTCTACTTCACCAAACATGATGTCCTCCTCCATCAGCAATTCCTCCTGATGACGTGTCCAAAGTAAGTAAGTTAGACAGTGTTCTATCATGATCCATAACGTTTTCATTGGCTAATTTTCAGAAGTAGATCGTGAGGCTTTTCTTCCTAGTCTTAATCTGGACACTCTGCTAAAACCTGTTCACCACAGGTAACCCTGCTGGTATTTGAAATACTGGTGGCATAGCTTCCAGCATCACAGCAACACGTAAGCCACCACAGTAGGACAAAGTGACAGAAGAGTGGTAGTAGGGAATGAGGAGGGGGACAACATAAACCATGGCCATAGAAGAACAGGCATACACAAAATTCCAAAGAGGCACCCAAAATTAGGTTTACAATATAACTAAGTCTTTTTACTTTGGGTAACTTGACACACGGAATAAATCACCCCATCACAGTTTATTTGACCTCCCAATGGATTTTCCACTGAAGTTGGAATAATTGCCATCATCATCCACCAACAAAACAAGGGAGCACCAATGTCCCCGATAAGCAAGTATCTGGGGGTACATGTGCCAAACCTACTCCAGAAACCTTTGTATAAGATGTCTAAGAAGAGTTACATTAATCTAAACACTCAGTAGTTAGAGGAGACAGAACATTTCCAAAGCTGGGAACAACAATTAACTACAGCTTGATCAATACTATTAATACCTCTACAGAAAGGAGATGGCAAGAGATGGGTAGTTAATATAAGACAGTGGGGCTGGTTTCATTAAGCAAAACCCAGAGAAGTGTATCTAAAGCTGTCCAAGGAGAAAAACCCTGGCTATGGGTGTTGAATACAATTTGATTACTCCAGTTCTTAAGTTTGTATCAGTCTATAGTGAATTTTCACGGGTCTGCAGAGACATGACAAAAGTAAATATGACATAATGAGGTTTTATTAAATTATGTCCTTCCTAATTTTTGTTGTTACAAATTCTTTTATGAAATAGTGGTAGTTGAAGTTTTAATATCCTTATTTGGTGTCTTAGTCACCTAGTGCTGCTATAACAGAAATACCACAAGTGGATGGTGTCTTAGTCATCTAGTGCTTCTATAACAGAAATACCACAAGTGGATGGCTTTAACAAACGGAAATTTATTCTCTCACAGTCTAGGAGGCTAGAAATTTGAATTCAGGGCGCCAGCTCCAGAGGAAGGCTTTCTTTCTCTGTTGGTTCTGGGGGAAGGCCCTTGTTACCAATCTTCCCCTGGTCTAGGAGCTTCTCAGCGCAGGAACCTCAGATCCAAAGAACACTCTCTGCTCCCGGTGCTTCTTTCTTTGTGGCATGAGGTCCCTCTCCTCTTTGCTCAATTCTCCCTGTTATATCTCAAAAGAGATTGACTCAAAATACAACCTAATCCTATAGATTGATTCCTGCCCATTAACATAACTGCCTCTAATCCTGCCTCATTAACATCATAGAGGTTAGGATTTACAACACATGATAATCACATCAGATCAAAAAATGGTAGACAACCACATAATCCTGGGAATCATGGCCTAGCCAAGTTAATTAACACTTGGAGGGAACAAAATTCAATCCATAACATTTGACAAATTAAAATATTGGTGAAACTATGTCTGTTCCCATTGAAAAAAATAATCATCACTGGGCACACTGGATCCCTGTGTGGAAAAAATCAGTTGCTGTCAAGTTGACTCCGACTCATGGCAAGCTCACAAGTGTCAGGGTAGAACTGTGCTCCATAGGGTTTTTATTGGCTGATTTTTTCAGAAGCAGATTGCAAGCCTTTCTTCCAAAGTGCTTCTGGGTGGAATCGAGTCACCAGCCTCCCGGTTAGCAGCTGAGTGCATTAGCCATGTGCATCATTCAGG